CTCTCTCTCTCTCTCTCTCTCTCTCTCTCTCTCTCTCTCTCTCTCTGCATTTAAGTGTGAGCTCTTCCGTTATACCAATCCGGCAAGGGCTGGATTAGTTTCTGGAATTAATTTTTGACTTTACGTTAACTTTTTCTATTATCTTCTCAATTCTTACATAATTTTTATTATTACTTTTGATTTTGGATATTTTTCGTTTTTATTTTGAATTATTATTTCGTTACTGGTTTTTTTTTTTTATTTTTATTTGTCTTTTATATTCTCAGAGTGCTTATTCTATTAGACTATTAATAAATATCTTTATCTCTCTTTCCTTCTTTTTCTCTCCCTCTATCTTAATCGAAAATATCCGCGATTCTCACATTCTGAACTCTTTTAAATATTTAACATCACTGTCAGATAGGACGCGAGGATGCAATTGTTGATATTTCACGCGCATTTTGCCGACGCGGAACAAAAGGCGTGAAAGTTTCTCTATTCTATTGCTATCTCTCTAGGGTGCTTTTAATTAGATACTACCGAGCGTGCCATTTGGGAAAGATGTCAGGAAATCAGCGCGTTGGCCGCGACGAAAATGAATAGGCAAACGGCGCTCCCGTCGGGCGCTCTCTAATTTCGGGAGCCACGTGGAAAAGTGGGCCATCGTGTGTGCGAGAGACGACACACGCGTCGCAGCTATTTGTACGCCAGACAGACGGCGGGGTGGGAACAGCAGGATAAAAGCTGAAAATGCGCAAAGAGGGGAAGAGTTAAGAGTTGGATAGATAGATAGGTGGAGGAGCGGGAGAGACGAACGTTGACGAACGGTGGAAAGCGGTGCAACCCCACCGGACAGAATTAGAATGACTCACGGGATTATTTAGGTTTATGTAATCCGAGATATTCGACGCGGCAACCATTCGTCGCTGCGACGTCGGTGACGTCTTCTCGGTGTCACTGCGTCACACCTCGGCGTTCGACACCGTCGAGGGCTTGCCGGAGGAGTTCACGGTATCATGTTGCATCTTTGGTACTTGCAACCATGCATCCTTTCGCGATCAGTATAGATTCGCTCGGAATAGATTCGACGAGTTAGTCGTTGCCTTGACAGGATAAGACGACGAATGCTAAAAGCATCTCGCCAAATCTCATAGCTCCCTCGTAACTTGATTAGTGGAATTTTAATTCGTTAATGCATTCCCGATTAGAATTTCCTGTCCACTTTTTTTTTTTTTTAAGAGGATTTTTTTTTCTCCGGAGACGTTCGGGATAATTATGGGCGTCTTAGGGAGTCTTAAATATTTTGCCTTGATTTCTCTCTTGACTATTCTCTCTGTATGTTAAGTCATATAGAATGAAATGACAATAAATCGACTCACAATACATTCTTACATGGAACAGTTTTGCTAAAGTATTTAACCTTCGCCAGTAATCGGAGCCTTCATTAAAGGCACTTTGATATTTATTACGTTTCAATGTTTTACATAATTATCTTGATAATCCTAAACAATTTTTTTCAGACTTAACATTTAGATATTTCAGCAAAATCTTTCTTTCTGTGTGTAATTATTGATTGGCAGACCATACCGTACCGGATAATATACTCGCGAAAATCGTATCTCGCTGATCGCGTGGTCTGTACTTAACGAGTAGTGCAAAGCGACGAAAGCATATATCGCCGCGTCGTAAAAATATCTTACTCGCGTTCGGTTTCCGTTTAGCACGTACTCGCATTCGAAAGTGTTGTGAATCTCCGAAGACGCACAACGCCTTCCTGTGCTCTCTCTCAACCTTCTGCATTATCCGATTCCTTCCACCGAAACTCGATCAAAGCGAGACTCAGGGATTCAGGTTGCTGCCCGCGTAACGCGGCATCGACGACGCCTTTGGTAATTGCTCTTTGGGTCCTCCGACGGAATCTAATTATGAGTATCTCAAAGAAGTGCACGCGTCGCGTAACGCGTTCATGCGCACAGCTGTATTCCCTTCTCAATTTCTTCGCATCGCGGTCTTTGAGCCCTTCACCGAGGACCCAATTAAATGGACCGGAACCTCTTTGATGATGACAGGTGCGTCAGCCAAATGTCCCGTGGTTATGACTGTCTAATTCAGTAGGCCAATTCATTAAGCGGTAGGTCGATTCCGTCTTGAGTTTCACGAACGCTTTATCTTGACTCTCATGCGAAACGCGAGAATTGCATATTTTTAACGGATAAGTAAAGAGAGGAATTCGGCCGAAATTTACGAACGCGTTACGGCACGAACGAAAGGTTAATTCGCGGCTGAGGTTGTTCGAGGGCGAAGGGAATGCCACCGGGGGTGTCATCTCCACTGGATACTTTTCAATTACCAGGACGAGAGTTCGCAACTCTCTGTTGTGATCCGTCAGTAATCTCTGTTGGGCGTTTCTCATCGCCGAATTAGGACGCGTACGCTCGCGATTTTATAATAGAAGGTTAAAATTTGTTTTACTTTTTATCGCGCTGCTCCTTCCTCGCCTTACCGCGTCGCTTTCTCTGACCGTGACGAGAGAGAGAGGGACGTCTCAATTATTTTTCCTCCCCTCAGACCTTCCTCTCAAGATCCTTTCTGACCGTCTGATAAGTGCATTAGTTGAACCCGGAAATTGGTCGACACCCCGTGGCGTGTGCTCGCATTAACCCCACCATTTGGTTCCCGTCGTTTCAGAGGCACGAGAAGCCGACGATGTAAAAAAAAGAAAGAAAGAAAAGAAACGAGAGGACCACGTATGCGCGCGTGTAAAGAGAGAAGAGGGAAGATGACGTTACATGGACGAAGGAAAAGGTGATTCCACACAAGGTGTGAGCTGTACATCAACAGAATTTTAACCTACATACACTGGGCGCTTCCCTTCGCGCGTATTTTCGCTTTGGAATGCTTTCAGCTGCATGGAGTGAACAATGCTGAGTGCTTTGTGTCGAATCGCTGAAAGAAACAGTCCCGATGGCCCTTTAACGTCGCGATTCTCTCCTCTTCCATCTTCGCGATTAGATTGCCTTCGAATCGATATTTATCGACTCTTTCGCCGCATATTTGAAATGTAAAGGTTGAAATTTAGATTTTCGGAATTTTAGATGTGCCGCGTCTCTCGATTTGCTAAATTTGTGAACGTATTCACGAGTATGCGCGGTACAACTTTGTTGCGCGATTTTTACAACACCAGTTCACGAAGATCTTACTCTCGATAATCCAGGAATTATAGCAACGCTGAAGTATTATAAATCATCTCTAAATCTGCAGAATCGAACGTCAGGTACGAGAGAACGTGTTCTTCTTTTGTTGGAATTACAGATGAATTGTATTCTTTATGTATTTAACTCGTACAGAAGCGACATCGCGACGAACGAAAAACTAAAAAAATATCGATATAGATTTAACATTATACGTGTCTATGTAATTCTCGTTGTATTGTTAATTAATATTAACCACCAAACATAGTGAGTATTTTTTAGACACCGCACGATGTTAAATCTACATATTTTTTAGAGTGCAGCTACGGGATTAACGAAGAGTTTGGTTCTCGTTATGGACAGTTAGAGATGTCCAATTTCGCTTTTTTTAACGTAAATACTAAATATAAATATCACGTTCTCTCTGCTCGCACATTTGTGTGCGCCTTAATTTTTCTTGAGATAAGTTCATGAAGGATCATTTCAGATACTCACATGGCATTTGCCGCCATAATTCTCTTTGTCATTTTTTAAACCCGGCGAAGGAAAAAGATGTAAGTCGTTCAGGTGTTCTCGGACCCGAACGTCGAATCGATAATCCGAACCCGTGGGCAGGGTATACATGCAGGATAAAAATGCGT